CATGGCAGGCAGCTGCCGTGCTGCAGCCCCGGCACCTCGCTGTCTTCACCCAGTGTTAGTCGGGCCCTCCAACACGACCACTCCATCTTGCCTTCCTTGTCACAGGCATCACGTGGAATACTTGTTTGTACCAGAACAGAGCAGAAAAATAATTTTTACCCACTTGCAGACTGCTTTTTACTTCTAATGGCGACGCCTATTGAAAACAACCTTGCACATGGAAGTGAAGAGCGAGGCGTCTCCATAGGAGCGTGACATTAGCTCCGCATGGCTGGGACTATTTCAAAATGCCAACATTTTTTTGAGGTATAGCACCAGTCAGGCCTTAAGGAGAGCTGCGTTTAGACGCACGCTTTTTCAGTCGAGGCGGGTTTGTTTGCTGCGCTGCCCTGCACGGCGTTTTGTGCTGCAGTCTGAAATTATTTTAAGCCGTGACTCAGGCTTGGCCCCTGACCCGCTTTGTGCCGGCACAGCCAAGGCGAAGGCGGCCCGGCCCGGCAGCACAGCCTGACGCAGGGATTGCCCCGGCACACAAGGCCCTCCCAGGGAGCTGGCACCTTGCCTGCCTGCGGAGGAGAAAGGAAGGAGATTTCTTCCAGGCTGCTAACTCCATCTGCCCTCTCCAGCGTGGGGAGGGAGGGAGGGATGCGTTTGTCGCAAGGGATCCGGCAGCTGCCCAGCCCCAGGCTGAGGAATGCATCCAAAGAAATGTCGTCAAATGTAGTGCTGGCACAAGAACCGTTTTGCTTCTGGAGGACTTTCTAGAAGAGCTATGAGGAGAGGAATAGGTATACTTAGAGGAAATGTATCTGTATACTTAGAGGAAACAGGAGATCGGGTACAGAGTGTTACGTGTTAAGCAGCCGCCAGCTGCCTTCTGCAAACTCAGGCTGCTCAAACCCTTTCACAACATTTCAGCAGGGGATGGGGAACTGAAACTCCTTCAGGTTCCGTGTATATAGACTGCTGTTCCTCCTTATACAGGCAGCTACCTCCCTTACCAAACTCAGAGATCTTTTTCTTTCTGCTCATTGGTTCGTAAGGATATCCTGACATTTACACAAATGAGCAGACCAACCGAACTATGTTAATTAAACATAGATATACAGAAATATCTGCACTGTTAAAGTAGTGAGTAATAGCTGAGTCTTGTCCTACTTCTATACAATTGTTTTTCTTTTCCTCCATATTGCACAGTGATGAAGCTCATATAGTAGAAAAATGGTATACACCAGCATCTTGGTTAAAATATGTATTAAGTAGCATCTCTAACTGAGTGAAGGGGGAGTTAAGAGTTAGCAAAATAAATATTTCTATGCTAGTGACTGAAAATTCTCTTGGCCACATAATTGTAT